CCTCAGCCTCCTAAAGTGCTGAGGGATTACAGGCATGAGCCACCTTGCCTGGCCAAGAGGCCCAGTGAAGCACAAATGCATGGATCCATCCCTGAGCAAAATAAGTCAGGCAACTGCTGTCTAGGGGCTGATGTGCCATGGGTGAGACCACCACTTGGGACTTTGTCCCTTTGCAGTTGCCAAGTAGTTGTTACTGAATCGACGTGGGGCCCACTCACTGGCACGGTAAGTCCAAACATCTACATCAAGGTTTGTGATGGGAGAAAGGAGGATATTTATTTGTGAGTGTCAGCAAGGAGAACCCAGCAGCTCACGTTTAAGACCTGGCTTCCCGTGTAGCTTGTAAGAGTTTTTTAAGGAGGGGAGGCAAGGGTTACAGGCCAATTACATGCAATGGAGGCTATATATTGGTTTGACCTAAAAAGGTAGGGCATCTCAAAGCAGGGGCTTACAGGTCATAAATAGATTCAAAGATGTTCTGATTTGCAATTGGTTAAGGAAGCAAAACTTTGTCTAAAAATTTGGGGTCAGTAGAAAAGAATGTGAGCTCTGGCTTGTGGGTGTGACTTCCTCCCCATCCCTAGGGAAGAACTTCAGAAGAAAGAGAGTGGTCAGGCTTCAGTCCTCAGTTCCCCCTTATCTGAGGTCTATGGGCTAGCAGATCCATTTGGTGGGGTTCCAGGTATCTGAAAAAGAACTCAGAGAAACATATGTTAAGACGTTATCTTTGGGGGTAAAGGGATAAAGATGTTCTACAGGGAACATCTTGTGATGCTTACTTCCTTGGGTATAGATTTAAGCTACTCTTACCTTCTTGACAATCAAATTGCTCATTTGCTTCTCAGGGCTAGCAAGGTGCCTGGAATGTTCCTTGAAGAAACTCTTTTCCTTTATTTCCATGTTGCAGGGAGGGGCGTGCTGGCTCCTATGAGGGTTGCCTGATCTATCTCAGGCCTTGTCCTAAAGAATCCTATATAATTGTTCTTATTGCTTCTTTTTGGAGGTGGCAGGGATTATATTTCTGAATCTCACAAAAGCACTGGTGCTACTTTTCCAATAGTGCTTTGCTTTGCTTCTGAGCTGTTTTGATTTGTTTGTTGTTGGCTTCCTTTATGTATTCTGGGAGCCAATGACTTGGCTGGGAACTTGAAATCCTACCTTTGAACTCCTGGCAGTTCCCTGTCGGTTTTCACACAAATGGACTTGCTGGAATCAGTAGTGAGACACCTCTTCTCTTAATACCTGTAGGGTTGAAGGTGTGGGTGTGGTCATAGCCATCTTGGCATCCAAGGGCAATGCATTACTCATGTTTCTGGTGATGCTGGTATGAACAAAACTTCCATGCTGCAGGTGTGTGAAAATATCTCACATACAGTTATGTAAGGTATATAATTCTTGCTAATGATAATACAATGACTGTTTCTGGTTTGTGTATTTCCTATGCATACATAAACAAATAACATAATCATTTTCATTGACTATGTTAATATGACAATATACTTTTTATTGTTATTTCAGAGTATACTCCTTGTACTTATCTTTTTTAGGTTAACTGTAAAACAGCTTAGGCAGGTCCTTTAGGGGGTATTCCAGAGGAAAGCATGTCATAGGAGATGACACTCCATGCATGTTGTTCTCCCAAAGACCTTCCAGTGGGACAAGATGTGGAGATGGAAGGTAGTGATATTGATGATCCTGACACTGTGTAGGCCTAAGCTAATGTGTGTTTGTGCCTTAGATTTTTTTTTTTTTTTTGAGATGGAGTTTTGCTCTTGTTGCCCTGGCTGGAGTGCAGTGACACAATCTCGGCTCACCACAACCTCTCTCTCCCAGGTTTAAGCAATTCTCCTGCCCCAGCCTCCCGAGTAGCTAGAATTATAGGCGTGAACCACCACAACTGGCTCATTTTGTATTTTTAGCAGAGGCAGGGTTTCTCCATGTTGGTCAGGCTGATCTCAAACTCCTGACCTTGGGATCCACCCACCTCGGCCTCCCAAAGTGCCAGGATTACAGGCATGAGCCACCATGCCTGGCCTGTGCCTTAGTTTTTAACAAAACAGTTTAAAAAGAAAAAAAAAATTAATAGAAAAAAGTTTATAAGAATAGAGACAAAATATTCTTGTATAGCTATGCAGTGTATTTGTGTTTTAAGCTGTGTTATTACAAGAGTCCAAATGTTTTGAAAAAAATTAAAAAGTTTATAAAGTAAAAAAGTTATAGTAAGCTGTTTAATTTATTATTGAAAAAAGAAATTTTAAATGAATGTAGTGTCATCTAAATGTACAGTAAGTCTACAGTCCTGCACGATAATGTCCTAGGCCTTCACGTTTACTCACCACTCACCCACTGATTCACCCAGAGCAACTTTCAGTCCTGCAGGCTCCATTCATGGTAAGTGCCTTTACAGGTATGCCTTTGAAAAAATTATTTTATACCGTATTTTTTACTGTGCCTTTTCTATGCTTAGGTGTGCAAATGCTTACCATCGTGTTATAGTTACTTACAGTATTCAGTACAGTCACATGCTGTACAGGTTTGTAGCCTAGGAGCAGTAGGCTGTACCATATAGCCAAGATGTGCTATAGGCTATACCATCTAGATTTGTTTAAGCACACTCAGTGATAGTTGCACAATGATGAAATCAACTCATGATGCATTTCTCAGAACATATCTGATATGGTTGGGCTGTGTCCCCCGCCAAGTCCTGAAGTATTGAGTCCGAGATTAAATAACAACAAGACAAAAGTATGCCAAATTGCAGGGTCTTTATTGCCAGTGGCCACGGAGGACTCGCGTCCCTCCAACCCGTGGCCCTGAAAGGAGGATGTCAAGACACTTTATGCCTGTAAAACCACCTTGGGAGTGGGGATGAGGAGCGGGGATGGGGATGAAGGGCTTCAGACATTCTGAGGGCTAGTGGACTGTGTAAATCACCTCCTGGGTGGAGATGAGGGTGAGGGGGCTCCAGACGTTCCAAGGGCCAGGGGACTTTTGTCACTCCGATTGTTACGTAAGTGGTTTACAGAAGTCAAGATAAGCATTAGTTTACACATTATCTGGGTAGGGTGGAAATTACAGACCTTAGTTACTTATTACAAGTCGCAGGAGCCAAGATGGCATGGGTAAAGCTGCTTGCCTATCACATTAAGGGCACAGAGAGCAGTTACTGATAAGCAAAGGTAAGCAGCTTTACATAGTGGGCATTTTTTAGAGCAAGCTAGCTGTCTTTATTTACAGAAACCAAGGTCAGCAGATATCGCAGGGAGAATGGGGCAGCCGTTACGACTTATCTCTGGAAAAACAGCTTTGTCTTGTATAAAATGGCATTGCTCAGGTTCTAACTCTAGGCCAGCTGTAGCACAGTCCCATCTTGAATTGTAGCTCCCGTAATCCCCTAATGTTGTGGGAGAAGCCCAGTGGGAGATAAATGAATCATGGCAGGGGGTTTTTCCTGTGCTGCTCTCCTTACAGTGCTGCTCTCCCTCATGAGATCTGATGGTTGCATAAAGGGCAGTTCCCCTGCACATGCTCTCTTGCCTGCCACCATGTAAGATGTGCCTTTGCTCCTCTTCACTTTCTGCTATGACTGTGAGACCTCCCCAGCCATGTGGAACTGTGAGTTCATTATTTCTTTTTTTTAAAAAAATTACCCAATCTGGGGTATGTCTTTATTAGCAGTGTGAGAAAGGATGAACATACTATCCCTGCCATTAAGTGACCCATGACTGTATATAGTTCCTTTTTAGCTTAAGAGAGAAGGCCAAACAAACAATAAGCTCTTATAATGCTTCAAATGCACAAATAATTTAAATAAATTAATGTAAATCCTGAATCAAAGGAATTTACAGAGAAAAGGAATTTATGATGGGTTTAAATAATTTTAACTGCTCTGATTTCTGCTTTTAAAAGTCTTGCTAAGGGAAGGGTTTTAGACAAAGCTGGAATTTTCCTTGAAGGAAATCTTTTCCTTTATTTCCATGTTGTGGAGAGGGGCCCGCAGGCTCCTATGAGGGGTCTACTAAGGAGTCTCTAACATTAGCCATTACACTCCTTTGTATCCTTTTATTTTATCTCCAATTAGTCTCTTAAATTTTTTATTTGCTGTCTGTAAAAAGTCTTTTTAATTTAAAGAGACAGTAAAAAAACTGGAAATCTTCTTAGAAGCTTCTGCACATCAGTGGACATCTCTGGGTGGCCTAGTTTGGAAGCCCTAATTTTTAAAAGCACGTCTTAAAGTGTGGTGTGGTTCATATGGAACATTCTAGATAATGGCTATTATATTTTAAAATTATCTTTGCTGTAATTTGCCCATTGGTTTAACAATGTGCGTGATAATGAGCCACAATGTTTGAACATGTAGTCAGCTGGAGTCCCTAAAGAAGGAGTATCTCTTCAAGTTTTAGAATTTGGGAATCCCATTCTGTTTCATATTAATTTCTCAAGAACAAAAGGAAAAACTTCATAAATATACTCAGCACAAATGTGGTGCAATCCACATTTCTATTCAACCATTTTCTTGGGGGCTGCCAACCTTTTGATCAGGCATCTGCAGAGGCAGGCCTCATCACCTGTGTGCTCCAGTAGACAGAGAGCCAAAACAGTGTTGACCTGTGCCCATGATTATGTTATTTTGCCCTTGGAAGATGTTCAGAAACAAGAAAAATCTAACTCACCAAAATTGTCAACCAGATATGCAGGTCAAACCAGAAGGGTGATGGCCTTTAGGCTTTTATATTACCAGATGTTGACTAAAGTTAACCAAAATTCAGGAGCAACCAAAATTTGAGAGAGGACTCACTGGGGCAAAGGGACAACTCATGGAAGTGGGGAGTGCAAGTGTCTTGGTGGGTACAGCACATAGTCCTGGAGGCCACCAGTCTATCTGAGGTGAAGCTTGCTTTGGATTCCACTTCTGACATCATTGTATATAAACCTAAAAATAAACTTAAAGGGATAGGCTCTCCAGAACAAATGTGTTTATTTGGGAATAGTGGGGGATTGCAGCCTCAGGATACGTGGGCTGTGATGGATCATAAGTATATGCAGGAGTGTTGGGGCAGAGGAGAATCTTTTAGAGATAAAAAGAGGTCTACATGAGTTGCTTTAAAACAAAGTGCCGAGCCGGGCGCGGTGGCTCAAGCCTGTAATCCCGGCACTTTGGGAGGCCGAGGTGGGTGGATCACGAGGTCAACAGATCGAGACCATCCTGGCCAACATGGTGAAACCCCGTCTCTACTAAAAATACAAAACATTAGCTGGGCATGGTGGTGCGTGCCTGTAATCCCAGCTACTCAGGAGGCTGAGGCAGGAGAATTGCCTGAACCCAGGAGGCGGAGGTTGCGGTGAGCCGAGATCGCGCCATTGCACTCCAGCCTGGGTAACAAGAGCGAAACTCCATCTCAAAAAAAAAAACAAAGTGCCGAGATCACAGAAGCTCATGACAAGAGTTGGCATTTGTTCATTGGTGGAGACAGTCATTGCTAGCTAAGTGCCCTGCTGTAGGCAGCTTACCTAAAACACTGCAATATTGAGGAAGTTCTTCTGATAAGTTGCTATAAGGTACATGCAAGGCATGTATGGTATGTGGGACAAGTGCGCATGTGGGATGTGTATGAATTTCTTGTGATAAGACAGGGTGCAGGTATGCAAGCTCCTTCTTTCATGCCCCCGACTCCATTTTGTTAGAGTTTTGACATAAGTTACTCCATTTTGGTACCAGCAACTTTCACAATTCCAGTGAATCCAGGGTTCTAATTGAATTGATTACAACTGATTGATTTTGCAAATAGTGGGCCCTAACATAACATTGTGAACACGACCATGTTTACCCATTTCATAAACCAGTTGTAGGCTGGGCACGGTGGCTCACACCTGTAATCCCAGCACTTTGGAACGTCAAGGCGGGCGGATCACAAGGTTAGGAGTTGGAGACCAGCCTGACCAACATGGTGAAACCCCATCTTTACTAAAAATACAAAAAGTAGCCAGGCATGGTAGCAAGTGCCTATAATCCCAGCTACTTGGGAGGCTTAGGCAGGAGAATTGCTTGAACCTGGGTGGCGGAGGTTGCAGTAAGCTGAGATTGCACCACTGCACTCCAGCCTGGGCAACAGAGCGAGACCCTGTCTCAGAAAATAAAAAAATATACCAGTTGTAAACCTGTTTTAACCAATCCTGGGCTCAATCCAAATATTGTAACTGTCCTGCTGCTTTGTTAGTTAACAATTGTTCTAATAAGTGGATCTCTTTTAATTCCCAGGACTTGGGGATCTTTCATTTTGTTGAGATTTTTGCACGGCTGCTATTTGTTGTAATAATTTGGCTGAAAGATAAGAACGTGGATGTGTGTAGCTATGTGATGTGCTTTGCTTAGAGCAAGGAAGATTATTTTGAGTCACTGCACCTGCTTGCCTTCCTGGCTATAATGCAAAAGATGATCCTTTCAAATAAAGGAGTGTAGAAGGTGACCATCCCTCAGTCTCACCAATCAACTGGAATCACTTCCAAGGAAACAGATTCAAATTGGTAATCCAAACCCCATCCACAGCCAAGTCCTTCTGAACAACAGCTGTTACCAAGGTCTCAGGAACATTAGGTGCTCAATTCTGTTTTAAGTAGCATGGTTGGCGCTCAACCCCAAAGTCAGGTTTAAGTAATTAAACCAGTTGTTAATTCATTAATTTTATTCTGCCTCTTTATTTAAAAAGGACCTGGCGGGTTTTACAACTTAAAATGTGGTGAAAATGAAGCATTTAAAAAGAGACTGGAAGCTCCATAATGGCAAAGAGGAAAATATCCTATCAGGAATGTGGATAAATAGTTTGAGCATGAAATTTGACTCTGGGCTTCCTAGCACTCAAGGCGAAAAAGAAATGGTGGACCCTATAAATTTAATCACCTGATTTTCAAAGAAGAATAAGAATAAGAAGAAGTAGCAGCATCAGCATTTTGTTTGTTTGTTTACAAGAAGCGTTGTTTGGGGAAGCAAACATTTACTTGGCATTACATTTTTGGAAAATTAGATTTCGTAGATCCTCATGTAAGAGACTTGGGGTAACTTGCTCAAAGATGTCTTCGACTGTGGTTTTGCAGAAGCAAAAATGGTTTAAGTCTTGTGAAATCAAGAAAGCTTGAAACAGTGATTCTTCTTCTGGGGAGAGCAGTCAATTTATAATTAAGCTCCCGCATCAATGCCTGATCCCATGTCATATTTATTTTTGACTTTGGTTCAAGGATAAGAGGTGGTTGCTCACAATGACTTGAGTTCCAGAAAGATGGATTTTTGAGTCACAGCCAATACAGGTAGCTTGAGTCAGCCACCAGAAAACCCCCATTCCTTCTATTTCCACTAGTTGCTCAATACTGTATTTACCTCTATGTGCTACTCTCGAGAGAAAGTGAAATAACCAGGGTGATCTTGGCTAGAGTCAGTACAAGGACTAGCACTGACTTCACAGACTGAACAGGAGTTTCAGCTGCTGGAAATTCCCAGTGTGCACATTTTGGCATTTCCACCTGGAATGTGGTCCTGCTGGGATGGTGGCAAACAGCCAGACCTGTATGAGTGGCCTGAGTTCAAAGGCAAATGTCCTGGACCGGGGCTTGGCTTCCCGAACCAGCTGACAAGCTGGCCCAGTTCCAGTGTGTAACCTTGTATAGAAAGGCCACTTTTCTTGATTCATATTTGCCAGGGATTCATTTAGCTCGTTTTCTTGCCTTCTGTCTTCTACTTTTGCAACCAGCTGCAAGAACTGCATTGCAAATGCCTGTAGGGAATATTTAGAATAATGGTGACCCCTATCACTCTTGTAGGCGGTTCCCAGGGAAGATTCCAGCTTCTCTGGATTGATAACCAATGCTTCCCACAAGGAAAGCGTACAGAATTAAATGCAGGCATTCCATCTCCTGCTTCCAGTCTTCTTAATGAGAAAGTTTCCACTTGCAGGGACAGCTCAGTGATGAATTTTCTTAAGCTGTGTGTCTTTGGAAGGCACAGGTTCCTTCTTAGGGTGCCAGGTGAATGGCAGGGGTGGTGAGTAACAGTCTTGTGTCTAGGACAGTGCACTATTTTATGGTCAATGGAAGGACATGAGTTGGCTTTGGAAAGCAATGGCTGGGGCTGTCCCCTTGCTGCCAATGTCAAGTCAGAGGATAGGAAACAAGCTCCCCAATTTTCCCCAGTTCATTAAACTGGTGCATTCTGAGGCACCCTGTGCAGTTCTGAGCATGGCAGTTGTGGGGTTTTCCCTGTCTGAGTGAGTCAAGTGATTCAGTTCTCTGGCTAATTTACTTTTTTGGCACTTGGCTCTAAGTCTTTGCTCTAGAAAAAATATGCTTCTCAGAAATGGGTATAACTTGGCTAAACCACCTGCAAGAGAGCCAGATATCTCTGGAGAAATTCTCTAGGCTCCCCTAGGCATCCAGGAAGTAACATTAATTTTTAAAAATTAATAATAGCAGCTATTCTTTATATAGTACTTACTATATTCCAGCCTGTGTTGTAGGCATTTTCCATACATTTACTTATTTGATATTCATAAAAGCCTTATGATGTGGGTGATGTTATCCCCATCTACAGATGAGGAAACTTGGGAACAGAGAGGTTCAGTAACTTGCCCAAGGTCACACAGTGGTGGAAAAAATGTATCTGTAAAACCTGCAACTTAGTTCTTCTCTTTCAAGATTGTTTTGACTATTCAGAGTCCTTTGGGATTTCATATGAATTTTAGAATAAATGTTTCTATTTCTATAAAAAATATCATTTGGGATTTTGATGGGAATTGCATTGAGTCTGTAGATCACTTTGGGTAGGACTGACATCTTAACAGTATTAGTCTTCCAATCCAGTGAAAAGACACAGAATTGCTTTCCATTTAATCATGTCTTAATTTTTTTTAGCTATATTTTGGTAGCTTTCAGTGTATAAGTTTTTCACTTCCTCAGTTAATTCTTAAGTATTTTATTCTTTCTGGTGCTGTTGTAAATGGAATTGTTTTCTTAATTTCCTTTTCTGATTGTTCATTTTTAGTGTAGAGAAATGCCACTGATTTTTCTGTGTGATTTTGTTTCCTGGAATTTTGCTGAATCCTTTGTTAGTTCTAATAGTTTTGTTGTGGATTCTTTGGGGTTTTCTACATATACAATTACGTCATTTGAGAACAGAGATAATTTTACTTTTTCCTCTCCAATTTGGATGCCTTTAATTTCTTTTTCTTGCTTAATTACTTTGGCTAATTCTTTCAATATGATCTTTTTAATATGATGCTGAATCCAGTTTGCTAATACTTCATTAACTTTCTTTTTTTTTTTCTTCTTTTTTATTTGGAAGAAAGAGAGAAAGAAAAAAAGAGAAAGAATTAAAAAAAAGAAAAAAAAAAAGAATGAAGGAAAGAAGAAAGAGGAAGAGGGAGAGAGAACAGGGGTGTTGCTTTATTGCCCGGGCTAGAATGCAGTCTAAAAATGGGTATGCCTGTAATTGTGTTTAATAATAGAGACATTAAAAAAATATTTAAAAAATTAATATTTCATTAACTTTCACATCAATATTCATCAGGGGTATTGGTCTGCAGTTTTCTTGTAGTGCCCGTGTCTGTGGTATCAGGGCCTCAAGGAATGAGTTAGGAAGTATTCCCTTCTCTTCAATTTTTGGGAATAGTTGGAGAAGGGTTAGTGTTAATTCTCCTTCCAATGTTTGGTAGAATTCATCATTGAAGCCATAAGGTCTTGAGCTTTTCTTTGTTGGGCATTATTTTGATTACCAATTCAGTCTCCTTATTAAAACTATAGGTCTATTTAGATTTTTTGATTTCTTCATGATTCAGTCTTGGTAGCATGTGTTTCTAGGAATTTGTCCATTTCATCTAGGTTATCCAATTTGTTGGTTTACAATTGTTCAAAGCACTGTCGTAATCCTTTTGATTTCTGTGAAATCAGTAGTAATGTTTCATTTCTGATTTTAGTTGAGTCTCCTCTCTTTTTTCCCCTAGTTGATCTAGCTTGTCTCTGTGAATTTGACTGTGCTAGATACTTTATGTAAGTGGAAATGTCCTTTTGTGTCTGGCTTATTTCACTTAGCATAATGTTTTTAACATTCATCCATGTTGTGTATCACTTTTTTTTTTTTTTAAAGAGGGGCATTTGCTTGGTACTTATGTGTAGAAGGGATCTTAAGCATTATCTAGTTATTTTCAAAGATGATGAAACTAAGAAGCAGAGTGGTTAATTGACTTATTCAAGGTCCTTATGTAGTTAAAGGCAGGGTAAA